AGACACACGATTATTGACTCTAGACTGAAATGACACACGGTGATGCTTACTAAGTTGACAAGCTTCACAAGACAAAGACAACACATAACTAAGACTGGGAACTTGGCGTTTCAGATTCTGGAGAGAAGGATGTCCAAGATGACAATGCCATTGAAAAGGAGACAACGAGGTCTGTAGAGCTCGGGTAGATGAATCAAAGTCAAGGTAATATAGGCCACCAACTTCATGCCCCGTACCAATCTTCCTCTTCGTCTTGAGATCCTGAAAGACACAATAAGAGGGATAAAAAATTACAGAACAGTTGAGAGAACGGGTAATCTTACTAATGGAAAATAAACTAAAAGGAAACTGAGGAACAAATAACACGAAAGATAGGGACATATCAAGACTCAAGTGAGTAGTCTCCAGACCTAAAACTTTAGAACAAGTACCATTGGCAAGAGTAACACTACATGTGGAAGTAGCAGACTGATAAGTAGAGAAAACGTCAGACGCACCAGTCATGTGGTCAGAGGCGCTAGAATCTATGATCCAAGGACTGCGAGTGGAGGACAATAAACAGGTGGAAGCAGTACCTGACTGGGCAAAAGTAGCAGTGGAGGGAGATGAAACAACTTGTTGCAGGAACAGGTACTGAGCATACTCCTCTCGACCTAGTGTAACAGTAACCGACCCAGTGTCTGGTGGAGCTGACCGAGGTATGAAAGCAACAACAGAGATGTCATCCTGATAAGAAACCTGATTAGTAGTACCAGAAGGTTTTCCATTTAAATCCCAACAGAAATCAACAGTGTGTCCTCCACGACCACAGTGAGTACAGGAACTGGGTCCACTACGACCTCCACGACCACCCGTACGACCTTCGCGACCACCACGTCCACCTCGATGACCATCACTATGGCTATTAGGAACTACAAGAGCTGAGCGATCAGTGGAGACACCATGATCAATGACTGAAGGAGTAGACAGTGTAGCACGCTGTAAACGAGAGAAAACCTCCAGCAGTGATGGAAGACTAGATCCACCCAAAATTTGAAAACGAATAGCCTCATATTCAGGTTTCAATCCTACCAAAAATCGAACAACATTCAGGTCCTCATGTTGCTTTTGCCAAACTGCTGCATCAGTAGTAAACGGATGGTAAGTTTTCATCTCCTCACAGACTCCCCGAACATGAGAGTAATAATCCGCAAGGCTCAGAGTACTCTGCTCCAACCGGAAGTACTCCTTGCACACCTCATACGCACGGGTAAAATTACCTGTACCAGAATACATAATGGCCAAGTGATCCCATATTTATTTGGTAATATCAAGATAGAGCAAAGAAGAGCTAATACTGGACTCTATGCTATTCAACAATAAAGAAATAATCTGAGCATCCTCTTGTTCTCACTCATCATACCCAGGAGTGTCCTCCTTGGGTTTAGAACCCACCAGATATTTCTTAAATCCTTTGCCTCAAAAAAAGACTTGAACAGATCGGGACCATAAAGTGTAATTAGTCCCATTGAGTTTGACAGAGGTCATAGGACTATTGATAAGAGTAGGAGGAGACAAAGATGGAGTAAGGGACGTGGTATTTTTAGGTTCCATAATAGTGCAGCAAATAGCAAATAGCAAATAGCAAATAAAAAGTGTTGCAATAAGAATCCGGGTCAATTGGACATACTGGAGGACTGAACCGGGCTGGATCACTGAACTGGACTAGTTGGACTTGCTGGAGGGCTGAACCTGGCTAGAAATAGGGGCTGGACCACTGAACCGGGTTGGTTGAGCCCTCTGGACTGCTAAACTGGACCAGTTTTACCTGCTAGATCACAGAACCGGGCCGGTTTAACCTCCTGAACCGTTGAACCGGGCCGGTTTAACCTTCTGAACCGCTGAACTAGACCAAACCGGTCTTAAGTTGGATCGAGTCTGAGTTGGACCGTGGGTTGAACCGTGGGTTGAACTAGCTTAAAATAATTTAAGTTGATGGACTTGACCCGATCCAACCCAACCTAACCTGTTGGACCTCTTCTCCTTCGTTGAGATTAGGGTTCCCAGAGAAAATCCTCTAGTCTTCAACGGCGCCACACACCACGACGAGAACTGCGGCACACCACCACAGTTGCACCACTACCACAAAGATTCTTCGACTACGCCTCTTCACCACGACAAACAACAGATCACAACCGAACTTCGGCGAACATAGAGACACCATAACATACCACAATCGAACTCCGACGAACACAGAGGCACCATACAGACCACAATCGAACTTCAGCGAACACAGAGGCACCACACAGACCACACCACAACAGACCACCGACAACACAGTGCCACCACAAACAACCGAACTTCGCCAAACACAGTACCACCACAACAGACCACCACCAATAACTCCACCACAACAGTATTCCAAAAAAAAAAAAATTATTCAGAATATATATTTATGATCGTAAACCTTGCTCTGATACCATGTCAAGTTTGGAAGATTAACATAATATTAGATACAATATTTTGGGAGAAACAGAGAGAGGTTAAAAACTTAACCTAGTTCTCATACATAATTTGTATTTATAGTTAACCTATAATAATAATAATAACACAAACACCCTCTTACTATTAACAATTTACACATACTACCCTATTATTCTTAACAGTGAGTAAATGGAATACAAACTAAGTGTAAAGCCTCCGTATATATAGCCTATGAAAATTACAATAAGGATAAAAAGGTAAAAACTGAAAACTTTAATAAACCCTAATAAACTAAACTGCTCTATCTCCAACACTCTCCCTCAAGCTAGGCGCAAAAATATCAACTAAGCCAAGCTTGACAACGGAGTCCCGAAGAATGGATAGAGTGACAGGTTTGGTGAAAGCATCCGCAATCTGATCACTGGTCCCCACAAACGATAGAGTGACAATACCACTACTAACCTTCTTCCGAAGAAAATGAACATCGATCTTTACATGCTTCGTCCTCTCTTGTAATACAGAGTCAGAAGCGATCTGAATAGCAGATCGATTATCACAATATAATATAGATGAAGAAGTCACTGGAATCCCAACTCGCCAAGAATCGATCATAGCCAGATAATCTCACAAGTGCCAAATGTCAGTGTCCAATACTCTACCTCTGCTGACGAGCGAGAGACAACTGACTGCTTCTTACTCTTCCAAGAGATAAGATGAGTCTCTCGAAAAGCACATAAGCCCGTAGTAGATCGACCGTCACATGCTCCCCCATAATCTGAATCTGAATAACTGGCTAGAGAATCAGTCTGAGATCCTGATGCATAGAACAATCCAAGTTCAGGACAAGACTTGAGGTACCGAAGAATATGATAAACTGCATCAAGATGAGGCTGACACGGTCTGTACATGAACTGACTAACTCGGCTGACTGCGAATGAAATGTCTGGCCTAGTATTGGCTAAGTAGATAAGTCTACCTACCAACCTCTGATAGACTGTCAGATCTTTCAACTCCTAAACCTTCAACAGTAAGCTTCAGGTTTGGAATCATGGGTGATGATACCGGTTTGCACCCCAGCATCCCAATGTCTGAAAGAAGATCCAGAATATACTTTCTCTGAGAAAGAACAACACCCCTGCTATTACGGGCAATCTCAATCCCAAGAAAGTATTGCAGAAATCCAAGGTCCTTCACGTCGAAGGCCTTCCCAAGGTCTACCTTGACCTGCGCAGTCCCAGAAACATCATCACTAGTAATAATAATATCATCAACATATACCAGAAGGATGACACACTGTCCAGAAGTATTCTGTCAAATAAAGCAGGTATGATCAAAATGACATCTGGTGAACCCTAATCGTACGCCTGGCTCTGGGGCATGCGCCTAGCGTCGCGCCACGCCTCACCTCGCCTCCTGACGCCCGTGCGCCTCTTGGCCCGTGCACCTCGCCATACACTTCTCTCTCGCCGCAACTTGATATCTCACCTTTTTCTTTTCGTCCTCAGATGAGTATGTGGTTGTATTATTTAAAACCCTAGGTATCTACCACTATCAAAGGACAAAGACAAGCTTGCGAAGATTAAAACAATAACCACGACTGTTTATGGAGTGAAAGAGTTTGCAGCAAGAGGAGGCATGGAGAACAAGAATGATTGAAAGTCACTACAGTCAATACCTAAAAAAAAGGGTAAAAAAGTAGAAAACAAAATTTATTCTTACTAATGCCCTCTCTCCCAAATTCTATTGGACTCCGAGCATAAGGGGCAAATGATGAGCCAAGTCCAAACCAAACTCAGATCATAGATGCAGATCAAGCCTAGATCACAAATGCAGATCAAGCCCAGATCACAGATACGGACTAGGCCCAGATCATAGACACAGACTAACAAAGACTCGGTCACAATTTCAATTGGGCCAAGTCCACCGTTCTGAAAAACTTAGTCTATTACTAGCGCACATGGGGATCTCTATTTTAGGAAAGGGAATCCGTGGAATGCAGTCATCAGGGTGCACAGCGCCAGCTTCACGAAATCACTTTGCCCATTACGAGAATGACGCCAACCTCACGAAACTACCCCACTCCTCATTACGAAAATAACGCCTCAATCAGGGCTCCCTCAAAGTCATTATAAAACTTTACTTGTCTATAAATTGTAAATCTCGCCAACACATAGAAGGCATCACTCATCTCTTAACCCTCTACACAACTTGAGTAATAAAACTCTCCGGCCACTGTAGTCATTCCCTATGGATAGGTTACTCAGACCAAACCACCTAATCTATATGTTTGATTGTGTTGAGCATACTCTATTACATACTTGATTGATTTGGCATAAACACTTTTGTGCATCATCAATAGCCAATGACCTTCTCAAATCAAATGTCGGGGGACAGTTAAATGGACAAGACACCTCCTCAACTTTCTTACATCACCGTTACCAAAGGCCTCTCAAACTGTTGAAACTAGACTTTTGGTTGTCACAAAAAAGTTCTCAGCTCCATAATCCCAAAAAAGAACACTAAAATAGAAATACATATTAGATGAACTTCTTGTAGTCGACAATACCGCCTTTTGTTGAGGCTGGCAAAAGGCAAGGTGCCTTAACAAGATCTTGTAGATTGACTGCCACAAAAGTAAAGTGCAAGATCATATCTTTAACAATGAATCAACAACTAGAAGCAAATACTACTACCTACCAGGTTAAGCAGAAGGACAAACAAAGCCTAGTTATCACAAATGATGTCCAGTTCATCATATATCAACCAAAGGTGATGTTTATGAAGAAAATTCAAGCAAGTAAATGCATAATAGCCAACATAGAAAATTTTTACGAAAAGCAATTTAAATTAGTCTAACATAACCAATATATCTTTGAATATGAAAATTGCCAAGGCACAATGATAAAATAAGTGTGATCAATCATACATAATAGCAATGTTCAAAGCTCCAAAGTTCTCTCTCTCACACACACACACACAAAGACATAATTCACAACGTGAGTACAAGTACAAACTGTTTTTCTTTATTTATTGTTTTTTATTAGTATCAGTACTAATTGTTCACATATCTGATTTATGAGTAGATGGGGCATTATTTTCCTTTTTTTGGCAAGTACTACACATGTTAGAAAATTAGGAAAAGAAGTTCCAGTTGTAATATGTAAGAGAATTCAATGAAAATTCTATGTGAAAGGGAAAATCCGTTCACTCATTAGTAACAACTTTGAAACTCATAATTAGTAAATGAGGCAAGGAGTTACACCGAAACAATCTTACATGTGAAGTTCTAATCTTCAACTGCAGTTGATCATGCAAGTGCTGCAAAGAAAGTAAAAGAAGGTAAGCTTTACTTAAAAAGTTACAATTAATTAAATGGTACAAGTAGGTTTCGATAAGAAGCACAATTCCCACTTTTCTATGAGGCTAAAGAAAGGATTCAAATAAAGGAAAAGATAATGATCTAGGTATAACAATAAAGCATGCTCAAGTTAGAGGCAAGAGAGACTGTTGGGAATAATAGGGAAGTCCAACAACCCACGACCCAACATATTGAACTAAACTCGCCTAAAAAGCTTAGGTAGGGGGTCCATCCAATGCATATTAGTCCTTTTGTTTCAAACCACTCTTCTGATGTGGAATTGGCATTTCACCTTTGTCCTTAACAAAAGGTTTCTCCCTAAGCGCCACTCATCAATTTCAAGAAGTATATGACCGCACTTATATCCGTAACCAAACCAGTAAGTTAAAGATCTCTTAGAAGATATCAGCACTAATTAGAAGTCTCAGTGCAGAAGTAGAGTATATCAAATAGTTATGTGGGTGTAAACAATCCTTAGATGAGGTCCCACATCCACATCCACACCCACACCCACACCTACACCCAACATGTGTAGCACCATTCATAGCCACAGCATGCCAATTGGTGAACATCAAAATTATTTAGAAAACTGGGAAGCACATTGTAGACTTCAGAAGCAGTATAAGATGAAAAATAGAAAAAAGGTATGAGTTGGTGGTAGTAATAAATTCAAAGCCTACAGCTGTTTCACCTTGGTGTCTGCGTGAAGAAGAAGAAGAAGAGAAGAAATCTTAAAGACTCCTGAGAAATTCCACGAAGCAATTGGGTAAGAACAACATGTTACGAGTTCTTGACAGCAAGAATAAAATACACAGTAGATTCTTAGGCTTGATGCTTCTAGCCACCCTATTAGGTACCATTCAAGAATCCAATGCTCAAAGCAGCGAGACCTATGTAAACTGGTAATTGGTGGATATTAAAATGAAAGCATGATGTAAAAGTTAGTGTTTATGTAAGCCATGCAAACAAGCTAGTATATGACTCGAGTATAGAAGCGAAGGTTAATAGAATTGATTGAAATGGTACTTCACCCTAATGAAAGAATTAATCTGACTTTCGATTGTCCCAAACAACAAAAATGAACTAAACATTAAAAGTAGTGGAGCCAAACAAGAAGCAAACTAGTTAGCCCCTGATTTTATCTTCTCAGTTGTAGCTTAAATTGGTCACTGCTTGGATCATTTAAGGGACCAAACCAAATAATGTTATGGACACGAGGATTCCAGAAAAAAGGATGGAAGCCTCGCCTGAATCTTCACAAAGTTGCTATCTCCTAGGTTCAATCCTTTCCTCTTCCAGCAATAAGCTTTTGATGCACATACGTACATGAAAAAGTTTAAGGCCAGGTTGTTCCAATCAGTCAATGTTGTGCACAAATAAGTGTGAAACGTTATTTTAGGGGAGCAATAAATAGCCAGACTCCTGAGACATTGTGGAGTTTCAGTAAACAGCAGGCTACCCAGTAAACGGAGGGCCAACTCATATAAATACCTTACATAAGAGTACTATATAACATTGGCATATCACACATATGGCCTGCATGCTTTACAGTTCATACCATTACACTGTTGGAAAGAGTAGAGGCATTGTTAACACGAGGCCAAACTCCATATTCAGCCAATAAGCCCTGTATGGAAGACATGAAGACATATCGCTCCTCCTCTGCAACCTGAATAACAAGTCTATCTTCTAAGCAAACAGAAAACTTAGAGAAATGAGACGAAATAAAGGAGACAAAGAAGACAAACTCAGAGCACCATACTTAACTGATTTAGTTCAAGATGTTGAACAAAGAAACTACAGAAATTTAAAGATACCAGTGTTGTTTGGGTTTTCCAAATATAGCAAAATTACTTACGGAAGTCTCTAATTTGTCTCATGCAAATTAGAATGAATTAGTAACAAGTAAGAATGAAGCAGTAACAAGTAAGAACAATACAGTAACACAAAAATCTGTAATTAACAATATATAAACGGACCGGTTTGCAAATTAGGAACTGTTATTTAGATCAAGGCTAGTGTTTGACACTATGTCCTTAAAGATAGATTTCGCCCCTATATTTGGTGCTTATGAAAATCAAAGTGTCTGCCTCCCAAGGTACAATGATCTTTACGCAATTAGAATTAGCACTCCGATCTAATTGTCTAGTGAACCAAAAATTGTGTTGTGTACTCTCAAATATGTAGACTGCTAATGTCAAAACTATGACTGTAATGATTGCCTTATTGACTAAAAAAATTTTGAATCCTAAATGACTATGTAACTAGATTATTTATAGACAGAATGGTGACTGATCCGAACAGTCACCATGTGTTGGAGTTATAGTCTAATTTATTAGGATTTCTTTTCTTTCTTTTCCCTTTTTTTTATCCTTACTATTACTTTTATATTTTGCCTAGACTAGAAGGATGTTCAGGTGACTTTATACTATTATTTGGATACGGGGCTCTACTCTTAGTTTGGATATCCCTTTCACTCACAGATATCTCAAATTGGTATCAGAGACAAACTCTAACCCTAACCCTAATCCTAGTCTCCACCATAAACCTAGCAAACCCAGCAGCCAGCCAACCCACTACCCATCGACAACCCGCAACTTTCCCATCAACAGCCTGCAACTGCCTCTGCTCCACTGACAGCAAGCAAACCAGCGAAATCAGCATTCTCCACTAACATACTCCACTAACAGTAACTACCTCAGCGAAACCTAGCAACTCCTCACCTTTAACTCCACCAACAGCCTCAGCGAAACCAGCCACTGCCCAGTGAAATTAGCCCAAACTCCAACAACCCAGCCCACTGCCCAACAAAACCTGTCCAGCCCATTGCCTAGCAAAACCAGCCCACTGCCTAACGAAAATAGCCCCCTGCCCAACCCATATAAAAGGACCCAGGCAACCCAGCCCCAGCAACAAACCCAACCAGCGATACCAGCCCCCGCATTCGTACTTCGCACTCTTCGCAGTGCCGTCATCTCTTTTGCGCCACTGACTTCTTTTTTCTAGAGTTGCAGCATCTAGGACCTTTTTAAGAGGGGTTGAATTCTCTACTCCATTGATCTGTTTTTGATGCAATAGATCACTTAAATACTCACTGAATTTTTGGGCACTGTGACCTGATTATTTTGGAGCTTTCTAGACTTTCTTTATCTGTCGCTACTATTTGACTTGAGATATATTATTCTCCCTTTTTTTGTCCATTTACTCATCTTAGCGTATTTTCTGTCACGGGTGCCTACGTATTATTGTTGATATGACTACTACTGAGACTCCTACTGTTAAGACCCCTATTGTTAGTACTTCCACCGAGAATGTATCGCCTACTTCTCTCACTTTTATGTTTGACCAGTATACAGTATATACTGGCACAGTTGTATTACCGACAATGTCGAGTATGATCTCTCAGAAGGTTACGACAAAGTTGTTAAATGGTCGTAACTTTGCTAAGTGGTCATGTTCATTCCAACTTTTCTTGGGCTGTATAGGGATGCTTGGTTGGCTGACGGAATCTCATACAAAACTAGGTGATGATGATCCTAGATATTCTGCATGGTTCTCTGTGAACTGTACTATTTTTTGATGGTTATTCGGCTCGATAAAGGTATCTGTTTATAGGATTCACCCGTTTCATAACTCTATTTCGAAGCTATAGAGCGCATTATCAGAGATGTATTTCCAATCTGGATGAAAAGTTTGTGTTTATGAGCTTTCTCAGGAGCTCTCATATGCTTGATAAAAACATATAAAAATTCAGGATTATTATGGCTATTTGACTTGGTGCTGGCTTAAGTACGAGACTCTACATTCTCTTACTGCTATTCCGAAGATCGAGCCTGAGGGAGTAGCATTCCTACATATTCGAGAGCAGGAGGATAGGATTCACAAGATCCTTATGGGGCTTCGTGATGAGTTTGAGGGACCTTGTTCCCAGATCTTGTCGATGCTGATGTTTCTGTCTTTTTATGAGGTGTATGCAATGATTGAACAACATGAGCGCCGTATCTGTATTGCATCAGTTTCAGTTGCGACCTTGACTCCTCAGGTCAACCAGATGGCCCTTGCAGCTACTGCAAGGTCTCGTTCAGGACCCTCAGCTAGGGGTAGATAGTGCTCGAACCAATGCCGTTAGGATGCCCCAGATCAACGCAGACAGGGGAATTCTCGTCAGTGTGATTATTGTGGTCGATCAAAAAATCTCAAGACTGCTTACTGGAAGCTCCATCCCGCCTCCTCGCAACTGTACTCCTGCCATTGCTGAGGTACCACCACCTACAGTCATTGTTCCTGCTGCTACTCCTTGGCAGAGTAATATAGATGCTATCACTTCTCGCTTGGATATACTTATGTCAGCCCTGACTTCTCAGGGCCTGACTACTACTTCTGTAAATACAACAGGTATATCTCGTGCTTTTCATGCTTGTGTCAGTCTGTCTCCCCTTTGGATGTTGGACTCGAGTGTGAATTGTCATATGACAGGTGAGGCCCATCACTTCACCACTTTTGACGAGCAGTTATATATATAGGTTCAATTAGCAGATGTGACACATGCCTCTATTGTTAGTAGGAGTACAATTTGTCTCCCAGATAGCTTTGTATTACGTTCGATTTTTCATGCGTCACAACTAGCCATGAATTTATTATTCGTACATCAGTTAGCTAAAAACTTTCACTGTGTGGTTGTGTTCTTATATAATTCATGTTATTTGCAAGACCTAAATACGAGGAGGATTACTATCAGGGGACATGAGAGAGATAGACTGTACTATCTAGGCAATTCACCCTCAATTTCACCAATTCCTACACCTCCATCACATGCACCTGTTTTATCTTTATGTCTTCCTATCTTGCATACTAGTATTTTACCTAGTACTTGTCGTTATAATTTTCGTCACAAACTATTCAGTTGTGGCATGATCATTTGGACATACAATTTTTAAATAGTTATATATGTTGTTTCCTACTTTGAGCAATGCTTGTGTTGGTGGTAAACTTGATTGTGTTATATGTTCCCTATCGAAACATGTTAGGACAAGTTATATTCCTTGCATGCTTCAGTCACCTAAGTCATTTAACCTAATACACTCTGATATTTGGGAACCCTCTCCTGTTACTACTCTATCAGGTACTCTATATTATGTGACATTTATAGATGACCATATCCGTTGTACTTGGGTCTACCTTTTGCATAGAAAGTCAGATGCACTCCTCGTTATCACTCAATTTCTACAGATGATTAGGCTACAATTCAATGTCATCGTTTGAGCTCTTCGTTCGGATAATGCCAAAGAATATGTGTCTGGTACCTTAGTATCTCACCTTTCTTCATACTCTTAAGCAAAATGGAGTTACTGAAAGGAAAAATAGAAGTCTGATAAGGATGGTATGTTGTATGCTTAGAGGTATAGGGGTACTAAATTCTTATTGACATTTTGATGTTTTGACTTCTACTTTTTTGTGCAATCGTACACTGTCATGTTCTTCAGCATAGGGCTCCCTTACAGGCCTTATTCCCTTAGAGACATTTTTTCATGTCCCCCTCGTGTTTTTAGCTATGCATGTTTTGTTCAAGATAGGTCTCCTACTCGTCATAAATTTGATAATAAAGCAATTTATTGTATTTTTATAGGTTATTGTAATCAGTCTAAGGGGTATCGGTGTTATGATCCTATCAAACGTTGTATGTATCACAATCTAGATGTTATCTTTCTTGAGCATATTCCTTATTTTTCTTCCAGTCATGTGTTTGTCCCTCCAATTGATATTTGTTTTTATTTCCCCTTACCACAGGAGCCGAGTCATTTGTCACTATTACTACAGAGTCACCAGTCTCTTCTCCTCCAGAGCCACTCGTCCTTGTCATCATAAAGTCACCAATCTCATTTCTTTTGCAGGTTTATGTTCATCGCCCTCACTCTCATCCTTCTGCTAATGTCCCCTCTACATCAGGCAATGTAAGTAATATTTCTCCGTTCGTTAGTATATTGATGCACCTGTTGTTAGTACTAATGAGATTGCAGGTAAGGAGCTAGTTACTTTAACTGATGAGACATTGACAGTAAAGGATAATGATTTAGGGTGTCATTATCCGCGACGTGATCGCCGNCCTCTACATCAGGCAATGTAAGTAATATTTCTCCGTTCGTTAGTATATTGATGCACATGTTGTTAGTACTAATGAGATTGCAGGTAATGAGCTAGTTACTTTAACTGATGAGACATTGACAGTAAAGAATAATGATTTAGGGTGTCATTATCCGTGACGTGATCGCTGNCATCGCCCTCACTCTCATCCTTCTGCTAATGTCCCCTCTACATCAGGCAATGTAAGTAATATTTCTCCGTTCGTTAGTATATTGATGCACCTGTTGTTAGTACTAATGAGATTGCAGGTAAGGAGCTAGTTACTTTAACTGATGAGACATTGACAGTAAAGGATAATGATTTAGGGTGTCATTATCCGCGACGTGATCGCCGTCCCGTTGTTCATTATGGTTTAACTGCCAAGACTTTATATCCATTCTCTAGTTATGTTTCTTATGGTGATCTATCTCCTATATTTCGAGCTTATAGTATGGTCTTATTAGATACGCTAATTCCTTACTTTGTTTCAGAAGCTATGCGAGAGTCCCAATGGTTCTTGCCATGCAAACGGGGNGACTTTATATCCATTCTCTAGTTATGTTTCTTATGGTGATCTATCTCCTATATTTCAAGCTTATAGTATGGTCTTATTAGATACGCTAATTCTTTACTCTGTTTCAGAAGCTATGCGAGAGTCCCAATGGTTCTTGCCATGCAAACGGAGATGGACGCTCTTCAGCGTATTCATACGTGGGATCTTGTCTCTTTATCTTCAGGGGTGAAGCTTGTCGGCTGTCGCTAGGTTTATACCCTAAAGTTTCTTGCAAATGGTACTATTGATCGTCACAAGACTAGACTTGTGGCGAAGGGCTGTACTCATGTACCAAGTCGTGATTTTGGTGTTACATTTATCCCTAACTACCTTTCGATTGATTATATCTCTGGCTACGAAATATTTTTGGCCTCTTCATCAGTTAGATGTGAAGACTATGTTTCTTTACAGTGATCTGGACAAGACTATTTATATGGATGCACTACTAGGCTTTTGTGGTGAGTGGGAGTATGCTGGGAAGGGATGTCGGCTGCGTAAGTCTCTTTCTAGACTAAAACAGTCACCAAGAGCCTGGTTTTCTCTGTTTAGTGGTGTAGTTGTACGTTTAAAGTTTACCAGATGTCATTCTGATCATACATGCTTCACTCGACGGAATACTTCTAGACAATTTGTCATCTTTTTTGTATATGAGGATGATATTATTATTATTAGGGATGATATTTTTGAGACTACATAGGTTAAGGAAGACCTTGGGAAGGCCTTCAATATGAAGGATCTTGGATTTCTGCGATACTTTCTTGGGATTGAGGTTACCCATAACAGCAAGGGTATTGTTCTTTCTCAGAGAAAATATGTTCTGGATCTTCTCTCGGACACTGAGATGCTGGGGTGCAAATCGACATCATCATCCATGATTCCAAACTTGAAGCTCACTACTGAATGTGAGAAGTTGAGAAATTCAACTGTCTATCAGAGGTTGATAGGTAGACTTATTTACCTAGTCAACACTAGGCCAGATATTTCATTCGTTGTCAGCCGAGTTAGTCAATTCATGCACAGGCCGTGTCAGCCTTACCTTGATGCAGTTTATCATATTCTTCGGTACCTCAAGTTTTGTCCTAGACTTGGGTTGTTCCATGCATCAAGATCTCAAACTGATTTTCTAGTCTATTATTCAGATTCTGATTATAGGGAAACGTGTGACACTTGATCTACTATAAGCTTTTGTACTTTTTGAGGAACTCATCTTATCTCTTGGAAGAGCAAAAAGAAGGCAGTTTTCTCTCGCTCGTCAACAAAGATAGAGTATCAGACACTGGCACTTGACACGTGTGAGATTATCTGGCTACGATCGATTCTTGACAAGTTAGAATTTTCAGGGACTTCTCCATCCACAATATATTATGATAATCGATCTGCTATTCAGCTCACTTTTGACTCTGTACTATACGAAAGGACGAAATATATAGAAATCGATGTTTACTTTCTTCAGGAGAAGGTTAGTTGCGGTATTGTTACTCCATTGTTTGTGAGGACCAGGTTTCGAATGTTTTCACCAAACCTATCACTCTATCCATTCTTTGGGACTCAGTTGTCAAGCTTGACTTAGTTGATATTTTTGCGCTTAACTTGAGGGAAAGTGTTGGAATTATAGTCTAATTTACCCTTATTATTACTATGTTTTGCCTAGACCAGAGGGATGTTCAAGTCACTTTATACTATCGTTTAGCTATATATACAGGGCTCTATTCTTAATTTGAGTATCCTTTTTACTCACAGATATCTCAAGTCCATGTGAACAGATGCAAGCCTGTAGACACATGTAGTCCAGAAAACACCACTGAAGTATGCCTATTGAGAACAAACATGAATTTGAATTTTGGACTAGAAGGAAAATTAAATCAGAACAGATGCGAAATTTGAATTCCAACGGGCACCAGAAATTAAATTTTGGGTTAAGAAATTTGATCCCAATTCGTTAAACAAATTTTTTCCAAAAAAATAAGGTTGGGTTTAAATTATACCCGAGGCTCGGCCAGGCCGATCGTGGTGTGGCATGGCAGTGCGCGCATACGTGTGTGGTCGAACCAAATCCCACGTAGCTGCTCACTCCGCTCATAAAAGTGTGTTACGTATTTGGGTCCATCCCATAGAGGAAACTTGACATATATATGCACAGGTAAAATTTCTTCCTCAATTAATGTGAGATTGGTGTCAAATTTTACATTGCACAACCTCTATTTCCACAATCCAAATAGGTCAATTTAGAGCCTATTGTCTCATTCATTTCTTATTCGATTTGAGCAAGTGAATATATAACGTTATTTTCCTGTAAAACATGAATCCACAAAAGTTCACTCGAAACGACAAACGGATTCCACTTTAATTTAGGCTCAAAGTCAACCAAAAATTCAGTTTTTACAACTAATAAACTGTGTTGTCCAACAACCAATAGGTAGCCTTAATTTTTAGTAGAAAAATATTGATAAATATTTCAGATAAGAATATGCTAGTGCATGATGAAGATAAAATCTGGTTGTGTTTCTGCATTATGATACAAACTAGAGAGTGAGAACTGGATTGTGACGGATTGAAGAATAGCAAAACAGGACACAGCTCAAATTATGATACTTCTAAGTTCTAACATCCGAAAAGCATAGACCGAGTGAACCCAATTAATCCATATCCATTGAACTCTATGCAAATAAATAGCCATAGTTAAAAAAAAATTATAAAAAAAAAATTCACTAAAGGAGAAGTAAAAGCAATATCTGGGATGGAAATTGTAATTTACCTTCAACTCATGAGCCAATCTTATATTTTCTTCGAGGTCACCTTTTCTACGTACCAATTCATTTGATGCAGAACTTATGACTTCGCCTTGCTTCTCATCTAGAGCCTATCACTCAAGAAAATGTTATTCATGATTATACATCATGAAAAGCAAGACAAAACATGTCAACTGCGACTGAAAAATACAATGAACACCAGAAAAAGAAAAGCTAATTATTTTCAAAAAATAGACAAACCATTCGCAACTCAGCAAACTTCCTTTCCAATGTAGAATTTTCTTTCAACAGCTGCACTTCCTAATACCATAGAGGTCAATGCATTACCTAGTAAACAGCGATGTAGAATACATATCCATGTAAACAAAGACCTTCAGGGAAAGAGCATACCTTAATGCTGGCATTTGCAATTTGTTCACGAAGAAGCAGGATTTCATCCTTTTGTGCTCTGGCCCGCGAATAAAGCTCCTATTGACAAAATTAATTAGCTACGAGAACCATGCCAACATCTTCATAGGCTAAGCATTATATATCCCACTGGCATTGGAAAAATGAGTACCATAGCCTCTTGGTCTTGAGAACAGTGTAGATTCTCGTTTCGCTTTAAATTAGTAGAAATAGAACTTGTTTCAGAGCTATGCCTGTGAAATAAACAGACGTTAATTTCAAAATAGTTCTAGTGAGAGGTATGAACATGCATGAAACACATTTTCTGGGTAAACTAGGTCCAGGAATTACCTGTTCAAAATATCAGAGATTTGTGTGTGATACCCGACACTGTTCTTCCCATTCATGGAGCTCTTACCGGAAGACATTGCATTGGCCTTTCCAAGAGCTTTTGAAGACAAAAATTTGTTGTCTGACAATTGACCTTTTCCATCATCGCCCGATGTCTTTTTCATTTCACCTCTTATAGTTCTCAAAACTTCTTAATTCTATATGATATTGACTCCCATGTGTTAGAAAGAGCCGCACTTACCAATAGTCAAGTCAGCAGAGTTTTAAGTGGATAAAGAATATGCTTTGAAAAATCTACTGTCATTAGTAAAGATGTATCTTTTTGTCAGGCACACGAGATGACTTGGAAATTATACTAACTATCCCAACAACCAAATCCTTTATTCTATAAAAAGTGCCTAAATGTATGTTTGAGTAATGGATCATTTAGCCAAGGTGACATAGGATTGCATAGCACAAGAAAAGCTAAACATCCAAGTTTAACCCAAAATTTTCCAACAATCAGATATAGCAATCTGGTAGAGCTGGAGTTTGTTGAACTGGTTCTACAGCCCAGCTCACAGAAATGGCTATGACAAGCATCCGGTCCAGTCCAAATCTAATATCACTAGGCTACAACCTTATGGCAATGCTCAAAATTAAAACCTATCCCACGGGAAAGAGCTTCAAAGCACCCCATGAGAGGGTTCAAATTTAACAATAATCTCAAAAAAGCTGAATCTCTGAGCAATTACTTGGTATGGCAAAAGTAAGGATCATCGGTACATCACGCATTCACCAACCACCACACATCGAAAATTCTTGATCCTTCACTTGATATTCTTCGGTCAATCTAAAACTATATGATCTATAGACTAACAGAAAAGATGTTCTAAAAATGGAAAAAAAAAATATGAATAATGCAACAAGTCAAAAATAAAATGAAGATTTCAGTGAACATACAGGCGAGATTCATGATAGAAATGCATTAGCCTTGATGTTTTAAGCAACTCAATATATATAAACTAAGGAATTGCCCCAGTTACTACCGAGATGTAACGGAATACAACAAAATTCGACAAGACGAACTAACTTCATCTTTGTAAAACTCGATTATTTCTTTCACATCCTAGAATTGTTGAGGAAAAATAAAAAGAAATTAAAGTTGATTACGAGTAAATAAGTTGTGCATTATAATCTTGAAACCAAGTTCCAAAAATCAGTATAAAACAGTCTCAAATAATCGAACATTTAATACCCACAAAAAAAAAATTAAGAGTAATGCTATTTAGAACTAGAAATCTAACCTGATTTCTTGACATTATGAAGTGGTTTCATCATAATGTTTTATGGACCCCACAATCAATCGAAAGGTCGCAGTAAATCAGGTTAATTTAAGACAGATTTTTAAGTCCAAATAACATTCCTCTAAAATTAAAAATTGAACAAGGAAAAAGATAATCCAATGAAGAAGCAAACCGAATGAAGTTAATATGAGTAAAAAGTTAAAAAGGAAAAAAAAAAAAAGCCACATACAAGTGACATGAACAAGAATCAAGAATCAAGATCAAGTCTGCATGAATAGGGGACTCGCAATTTGTTCACAAATAATCAATGCAAATAGAAACAAAGTCTGATTATGAGTAAAGTAAACACATGCAAAGGGCGCATTCCAGTCTTGAACCAGTTCCAATGATAATCAGTGAAGTGAAAGATACAAAGAAAACATAATTGAATACTTCACAAGAATATTAAAAAAGCAGATAAACTAATAACGAAAGCAAACCCAGTGAAGTTCAAGATTTAAGAAAGAAAGTGAGACTCACCCACATAAGTAAACAAGTGAAGAAACAAAACAAAGGCTTTTTCAAGATTCAAGAAAGAAGGGCGAGACCCAGATAAGTAAACAAGTGAAAGAAACCAAGCAAAGGCAAACTACAAGTGAACCCACCAAGAATCTAAATAAAAGATTGACTGTGAAAATTTCTGGCAATATCAAAAACTCGATAAACCGACATACAATCAAAAAATCCCATGAAAGTTCAAAGAAAAAAAAAAGCAAAGAACTTAGAGATAGAAAATGGGAATCTTTACCCTTGGTCTCTTAGCAGAATTCTGTAATAGAAAGGTGTAATAATGCCAGGTTCATCACTTCAAGAAGAGGCTTAGAGAGAGATAGAGTGGGGAAGGGGGTCTGGTTCGTAACGTTTCTTTTTGAGAAAAGTCAAACTTGGGTCGTTGGAGTGTTTTTTCTGTAACCGCAAGCTCGTAAATGAAGTGAGATAGGGACTCAGTGCGAAACTGGAGAAAATATTCGGTGCATATTAAAAGAAATCAGCGACACTGGTGAAACCAGATAAAATTTAAGGAAAATCTCATTTTATCCCTAAATAATTAATTTTTTTTACATTCTTTTCTCAAATAAATAGAAAATATTATAAAGCAGTTCACCATCTTATTTTTATTTTCGTTATTCATTGGTTTTGTGTCAAATCAATCAATTATGAATCACAAACAGATGAACGACTAAACAAAAAAATAAGACGATAGACCATATTAAAACGTTTTTATTTTTTTGAAGAATAATGTGAAAAAATTAATCATTTGCGGGACAAGCTAAAATTTTTTGTATCTTTTCAAGGGGTAAAATGGGATTTAAAAAGTTTTGACTGCTTTGTAATTATAATTAAATGAGTATTGATATTTGGACTTAAAAATCTGACATAATTTATTGACATACTGATGTGGCTTCATTGTGACCTTTGAATTGACTGCGAATTCCATCAAATATTAGAATTTGATATTAATCCAATGGTTCTAATGAAGTCACATCATTATATTAGCAAATTATGTCAGATTTTTAAGTTTCAATAACATTACTCTAATTGAATTAAAAAAATAATAATAATTTAAAAGCAATGTTACATAGGTTTAAAGTGTTGATTTCATCGATCATTGTCGTTGATTTAACTATAAGTCTCAGTATGAAAAACGTTAAATAAACTTAAAAACCTGACTTAAATGATATGATTATTATTAACTGTGAGTCCCAATAAATTTTAAAAATCATTACCTATTCAATGGTATTGATTTATTCATAAAGTCAGGTTTTAAAGTCTTTGTAGCATTATTCGTCCCAATATTCATTGAAATACATTACCTATTTAATAGTTATGATTAGTCAAGTCAAAAAATCATATTAATATTTTAGATTTAAGTAGTATTTTTCATAATTTAATGAGGACAAAATAAAAAGATTTTAAAAGATATATTTTTTATTTTAATAATATTTTGAGGATGATAAAAGGCACTTTCAGAAGTGGGATTTGTTTTTCCAGAATTGAGCTTCCAGGTGGTTCCTTAATCCTCAACAGCTGTACTGAGGTGGCTGCTTATGAGGGTAAAAGGTTAATATCACCTATAGGTGAATGCCACGAGGCAGTGGTGGTCATAAATATGGTTAATGGGATTGGACCCACTTGGTAGACAAATTGCCTTGACTTATGGGGCCTTTGAAATTTGTTGAAAAATGATTGATTAATTGAGGAAGCTAATGTTTTNAATATGGTTAATGGGATTGGACCCACTTGGTAGACAAATTGCCTTGACTTATGGGGTCTTTGAAATTTGTTGAAAAATGATTGATTAATTGAGGAAGCCAATGTTTTTTCTCAATGGCTTACTTGCAATTTGCAAAGCAAAGATTGACCCGTCCGTAAGGCCCTGTTTCTGTTTCTTGCCGTATCGGTACATTTTCATCTCTTTTTTAACAGTATTTTTATGATATCGAAATATAATTTTTTGATAATATATTTTTATTTTTTGTTTGATAAAAATATGTCACATATAAAATTTATTTATATTATTATTATTTATGACTTAATGTTTTTTAATTAATTATTATTAAGATGGTGAATAGAGATAAATAACAGCTAGACCCCACTTATACTTTATTTGTTATGTTTTTTACACGAGGGATTACTAAAATTTCAGCCCGCACTTGTCTTGCATGCTACGATGCCCCCGCAACACACGTAGAAGGGCTTATCTCATACCATCCAAATAGATAAGGAAAATTTAGAGAATGGAACCATTTTGTGAACTAATTTGGTAATAAGTCTGTCAAGGAAACTTGTTTAATATTAAGTTCATTTTTATTTTTGTTGTCCAAAATACTCATAATAATTATGTTTAATTAAAACAAATTTAAAAATTAATAACACTTAAATTATAAGAGTTTGATTGAAATTAAAATTTTCTCTTTATCACATCTATCTATATCTATAGATAGAATATGTTTATTTTTTTTTCTCTCTCACAGACACACACACACATATATACATACATATAGTAACATTAAAAAAAATAATAACATTTAAACACAAAAAATAATAACATTCAAATATAAAAAATAGTATCATTTAAACACACAAAAAAAACAACATTTAAACACAAAAAAATAATATAATTGAATATTAATATTTGAAAAAATAACAACAATAACATGCTCAACAAAAACAATAACATGATAAATATATATATATAGAGAGAGAAAGAAAGAAAGTATCAATTGTTATTTGAATTTCAAATTTATGTAAAGAAATTTATTGGCATATCTTCATTGATAGTGAATTAAGGGATAACAATTCTCAAGTTAGGAAATTAATTTAATGTTATTTTAAGGAATGATATTTTAGAGTTTTAAAAAAATAGTGGACTTAACTATTTATTAGTAAGATTAAAAAAAACTTATTTTTAAATAAATTTTTTTGACGGACTAAACTCAGTTTAAGTACCTTAAGAGGAACTGAGCCTCAATTTTCACAATAAATAATATTGTAAAATGGTATATGGGCTTTCAATAGTATATGGCAGTTAAATCACACTATAATCCCTCCACACACACTTGGATATAAATATAATATCCACAACAAAGTTGTTATGATTATTTATTATCTCATTAAAAACTGCAATTAAGCTTTTTTGGTGGGACCCCTACAAACACTTACATTCATTTAAATATAGAATGACATTAGAGAAAATATATGTACCAAGATATAAAAATTATTTGGTTGGAATAACATGAATTTCATTACCAAATACCATACAAACTTATCCTTTAAACAAACATACCCTGACAGTACCATAATTTTCTTCCTTTAATGTTGGGTTTGGGTCAGGGAAA